AGACACACTCACACTCACACTCACACTCACACACACACACACCCCATGTAGCCTCACCCTCGCCTCCATACACACGTGCGTATTCTCTCTCACACACACACACACACTCTCACACTCACACTCACACTCACACACAGACAGACACTCACACTCACACACACACAGACACAGACACAGACACAGACACACACTCACACTCACACTCACACACACACACACACACACCGCATGGAGCCTCAGCCTCGCCTCCATACACACGTGTGTATTCTCTCTCACACACAGACACACACTCTCACACACACACACACACACACACACACACAGACACTCACACACACACTCTCACACACACACACACTCACACTCCAGTTATCTTTACAGTTACCGTTACACTAGCAGACTTCACTGTCACCATTTTCATTCCCATTGTTTGAATTATTTCTTATCTTATTTCTATTTTCCTTCTAAATTGGCAGGTTGGCTTGAGAAAGCTAGAGAATGCGAGAAGCGCCAAACTCCGCCCAGCTCTTCAGACTGATCCGACTGTGGTCTTCATAAAACTGAAGAGTAAAAATCAGATATTCAGACTTCAACTGTCAGAAATCTCATTTAAACTCTCAGATTCCCTCGAGCCTCAGTCAAGCTTCCTTCTATGTGCTACTGTAACTCGTTCAAACGCTTCTAAAATTCCTAATCTAGCTATCTAGCCACATGCTAATCATGCTAACAACATGCTAATCTTGCTAGAAACATGATAATCATGCTAACAACATGCTAATCTTGCTAGAAACATGATAATCGTGCTAACAACATGCTAATCTTGCTAGAAACATGATAATCGTGCTAACAACATGCTAATCTTGCTAGAAACATGATAATCGTGCTAACAACATGCTAATCTAGCTAGAAACATGCTAGCAAAATGCTAGTAACTTGGTAATCATGCTAGAAACATGCTAACGACATGCTAATCATTCTATAAGCATGCTAGTGACATGCTAGTAACTTGCTAATCATGCTAGAAACATGTTAGTAACATGTTAATTATGTTAGAAACATGCTAGTGACATGCTAGTATCTTGTTAATCATGCTAGAAACATGCTAGTCACTTGCTAATGATGTTAACAACATGCTATTTATTTGCTAATCATGCTAGCAACATGCTAGTCACTTGCTAATCATGCCATCAATATGTTAGTAACAGGCTTATCATGCTAAAAACATGCTAGAAACATGTTATCAACATCTAATCTATCAAACTTCAGGCTTTTACGACTGCTTTAAACTTTCAGGCTAGGCTCTCTCAAGCTAACCTAAAGTTTGCCGTGACAAACGTTTTTATCTAGTTTTACGGTTTGCAATTCTTTGTGTTTGCTGTTTTTATTAATATTTAAATTATTTCTTTATTTTTATATTTTCTAATTTTAATATATTTGAAGTTTTAGTAATTTTATTGTTTTTGTAGTTTCTATTAATATATTTTGTGGTTTTAATTTAATTTTAGTTGAAGTTTTAGTAATTTTGTTGTACATGTTTGCCGTTTTTATTTTCATTTAGTTTTTATTATATTTTCCATTTCATTTTTTAAAATTTTTGATAAAATTTTCTGTTGTGTTTTTGTAGTTAAGTTTAAATTATCTTCAATTTTTAAATTTTGTTTTCATTTTAATTTGAGTTAAAGTTGTAGCAATTTCTTTGCACATTTTTGTAATATTTGTAGGTATTATTTATTTTCATATTTTCCGTTCACCTTTTAATTTGAGTTAAAGTTTTAGTAATTTCGTTGAGCAATTTTGTAATTTTTAGTTATATATTCTGTGCTATTTGATAGCAATCTTTCCTTAGAAAGCCACGTTTCTAGCATTTGTAAATCTGAATTTTTCCATCTTAAAAATATATCTAAATTACGATCTATTCTCTCAATGTCAAATGCAGAAATGTTCTGCATTTGCAAGGTTAGATTATTGTAATGCTTTATTGGGTGGTTGTTCTGCACGCTTAATAAACAAACTCCAGCGGGTCCAAAATGCAGCAGCTAGAGTTCTTACTAGAACCAGGAAGTATGACCATATTAGCCCGGTTCTGTCAACACTGCACTGGCTCCCTATTAAACATCCTATAGATTTTAAAATCTTGCTTATTACTTATAAAGCCCTGAATGGTTTAGCACCTCAGTATTTGAACGAGCTCTTATTGCATTATAGTCCTCCACGTCCGCTGCGCTCTCAAAACTCTGGCCATTTGATAATACCTAGAATATCAGAATCAACTGCGGGCAGCAGATCCTTCTCCTATTTAGCGCCCAAACTCTAGAATAACCTACCTAACATTGTTCGGGAGGCAGACACACTCTGTCAGTTTAAATCTAGATTAAAGACCCATCTCTTTAACCTGGCTTACACATAACACACTATCACATTTCTAATATTCAAACCCGTTAAAGGATTTTTAGGCTGCATTAATTAGGACAACCGGAACCGGGAACACTTCCCATAACACCCGATGTACTTGCTACATCACTAGAAGAATGGCATCTACGCTAATATTAGTCTGTTTCTCTCTTATTCCGAGGTCACCGTAGCCACCAGATCCAGTCTGTGTCCAGATCAGATGGTGGATCAGGACTTTAAACTTCTCATAACACCCGATGTACTTGCTACATCACTAGAAGAATGGCATCTACGCTAATATTAGTCTGTTTCTCTCTTATTCCGAGGTCACCGTAGCCACCAGATCCAGTCTGTATCCAGATCAGATGGTGGATCAGCACCTAGGGCCTCCTTTATAAAATGTTGCATATAAACCGTCCTAAATTTGTTCTAAGATCATTTCTCAAAAGTGTGTAAGTGCGATTCGGAGAAAACGAATGTGCACACAAAAACACGTGCGTACGCTCTCTTCCAGATCACAAATGATCTTGAGATTGTGTGCAGCTGAGCTGACTGGTGTCAGATCTCCGCCTTGTAAACGACCCCTAATCAATATCATTAGTGTGATGTATTAAATGCTTACAATTTTACATTTGAGACAATTGAGATTCCATAGCAGTAGCGCTAGGAATGTTGGGAATTGTTTTGAGCACCAGTTGGGCGGAAGTTCAAAAAGCAGTAAAGTGGTGGCTAGAAGACAAACGTGCCGTCTCACGTGTATTCTTTTTACTGGATACATCACAGAAAAATTGGCGATGAGGATAAAAGTTTTGTTCAAATTATGGCGCTTATTGGAAATATAAGCGAGTTTGTCCCGAGTCGTGGTCGGTTTATATTGAACGGCTGGAGCAGTTCTTCGAGGCGAACGACAGAAGCCAGGAGAAGCAGGTTGTGAGTGTGATGGGAGCAACTACCTACGGTTTACTGAGGAACTTGGTACAACCAGAGAAGCCGAAAGAGAAAGACATTGTGGACACTTTAAAGAATCATGTTGAGTCAAAGCCTTTGCTGATTGCGGAAAGATTCCGTTTTAATCATTGCGATCAAAGAGCTGATGAGACTGTGACAGAATATGCAGCTGAGCTGAAACAGTGCGCTGTGAGGTGTGAATTCAGAGCAACGCTGGACGAGGCCTTGCACGACCGGTTCGTGAGGAATCCGCAACGAAGCCTGCCAACAACGACTGTTGTCAGAATCTAATCTGACGTTTGCACGTGTGTTTGAGATCGCATTGAGTGACGCATTGGAGACGGCGGAGAGAGACACGCAGCAGCTGAGAGGGCTCAGCTTAAATTGGAAAAAAATGAAACATGCCAGTCAAGTGGATCAAACAAAGTCTCCTGAAGAGGTGCTGGATTCAGGCTCGGAGGTGTTCAAAGATGAACTAGGCACACTCCGTGGGCTTAAGGCAAAAATACTGGTGAATCCTGAAATTCCTCCACGCTTTTGTAAATCTCGCCCACTGCCTTTTTCAATGAAAGCCCAAGTTGACGTGGAACTGGACCGGCTGGAGAAGGCTGGAATAATCACGCCTGTAAAACACAGTGAATGGGCAGCACCCATTGTGCCGAAGATAAAAAGACAAACCCATAAGACTGTGTGGGGACTATAAATTAACAGTGAATCAAGCAGCTACTACAGAGACTTACCCATACCACGGATTGAGGAGTTGATGGCTACACTGAGTGGAGGAACGGTGTTTTCTAAGATTGACCTGGCTTCAGCATACCAGCAGGTTCTTCTTGATGACGAGTCCAAACATCTGCTAACCATCAACACACACAGAGGATTGTTTGTCTACAATAGACTACCATTT